CATATGGGCAACGGCCATCACTTGACCTTCAGCTCCACTTTTAGCTGCTTGCAGAGAAATGGTGTTTGTGGTCTGAATGAGGTGGTGGTGACTTCACCAGAAAAGTGCTTCTTTATAGTGTTTCTTGTAAGTGCAAACGTGTGTCAGCAAGAACTAACTCACTTTGCAGCATCTTCAGCACTGAATACAAACATGCTGTTCCATGGAGATTGTACTGCAGCTAAGGCAGAGAGATCTAATCCAGCCTGTAGCCCCGTCATCGATGGTGGAAGGAGTAGGAGTTTAGGCCCTTTGTTGTTGCTGCTGGTCTGACAAATGGAGTATGTTGTCCAAGAAGTTGTGCTTTTGAGACTGTTTAACTGAGAGCTGGCAAAATCTGGAGAGCCACCTGATGCTTTTAGTGATGAGAGAATTACTTTCTACTCTATATCATTTTGAAATCATGTTTTTACACGAAAAGCATTCCCCACTGAGTTCTAAGCTTTGACTGCTCTGAAATTGACCAGTCGGTAGGTTCTTCAGTCTTCCCTGAGGTGAACAGAGTGCCCGTGTTAAAGCCAGAGAGCACTGTGATGAAGTCTGCGTGTTGTCCTTACAGCTGTCTCTGTCCGGCAGGCTGAGGGGCCAACACAGCAAAGGGCAGTAGGACTCCGAGTCACTGAGTCATACTGGGCTGTGAAATGTCAATTCCCCTTTTTGCTCATAATGTGCTTGCTGTGCCAACCACAGACGTACACACTCAACACTCTCCTCCCACATGTGTTCAGATAAATGGTGGTAGATATTTATAAATCGCTGCTATGTGGCTTTTTCCACCAGCCTTGCAAAGACCACCTCAATGTGAGAGAGCTCATGCATGCTTCTCGGTGATGTCATCCTAGAGCGCACACTGACCATGGTCTTAGACACTCTGCCTTGCCTGCCACACTAACCAAATCCCTGTTCTTGTAACCAGCCACTTTTATGATGAAAAGAGCGCCACAGCTTTATAATTGTGAAGATAATCAGAATGCGGTGCTGATATCAATGGTATATCGTACCTTAACGCGTGTTCTATTCCAGGTGATTTCTTATTGGTTGACTAGTTTAGTAGACTGTCTTTTAAGAAAAGCAAGTCAGTTGCAAAGTGCAGTTCAGGGGGACAGACATGACTCTGTCTCTTTTTGCCTTGGAAGCTTTTAAGTAACCCTGTGGCTCTTGAATTTTCACAAAAGCAAGCAGATCTTCTACTTCTGTTTCACAGCTCGCAGAGTTCCTTCTTTTATATTTAGACACAAGATACGTGTCTAAACAGTGTGTAGCCTAAGCACTTTTTTTATTTTTCCACAGTTCAGCAATCTGTCAAGCTCTGTTTCTGGTTATTTCTGTTCACCACTCCACAACTGTGCACGGCAGATGAGAATGAAGACGCCTTGAAATAGATTTTTGTCTCTTTTCTTATTGAGTCTGTAGGTGTGGGCTGTGAAGAGGAAAAGAGAAAGCTCATTATGTGGCATTGTTCCCATTTTTGATGAATTTCAAACCTGCCCACAGCTTTCCACTCGGTGTCGACCGCAAACCATGGTATAAAATGCCGTGTGTGAGAGAGACACTTGTGTTCGTGACATCACTGTCTGGATTCCGTAGTGTCACGGCACTTTCCGGCTCACAGCCGAGCTGCTTCCCTCGGTGAGAGGGTCACTGCTCTGCTCGTGAGCTCCGGGAGCTGTCCTGTCCCAGCTCCGGCTCTTCCGGAGGGAATTTCAAGAAGAGGTTCTTTTCATAACTCTTCCATTTGTTTTTCCCTCGTCGTTCTCTTACCTGCCATGACAAACCGTAGCAATTCCTTTGTTCTGTCTTCTGACTTACAGTTCTCACCACTGCCTCTACACCAGTGTAAGAGTCACAGATGAAACCACAGATGTTTCCTCTTGACAGCTGGGTAATTGAAAAGTCATTGTCACCCAGCTTTACTATCCTTGTCTCACAATGGGACATAGAAAGCAGATCATTATGAATCAATCTGTCTCCAGCCATTGTCAGGTATTTTCCTGTAACACAGCGTATCAGTTATAAATGACTAATTGAGGTAGCTGCTCTTTGGAGAATCATGGCGTGCCAGGCCACAGTATGGTATGGTATATGCTTAATCTGATATTAGACCAACACATAGCAGGTCATGGATAATGAGCTATCCGAAGATTTCTTCTGCATTCTTAACCTCTTAAGAGTCTGGGAGGAGTGAGGGTGATATGCCTGTCCTTCCATGAAGACAGAAAGCCCTGAGTTGGAGAGGTATGCCCCGGCACTCCTGGGAAACCAGCCCAACCTGCCCAGCCTCTGTGTGCCTCATTCCTGCCATTCTTGTACTGTGTCACCATGCATGCTTGCAGAAATACATTATCCAGCACACTGATCCCATTTCCTCTGGGCTGGGCCAGGCCCAAAGGCTGTTTCTTACTGGTTGTCTTGAGAGATAAATGGGGAATATTTGGGGAAAACCAGAGCTAGTTTAGGGGAATGCCAAAATCTTCAAGTGCCTGTATTGAGTGTTTTACCACCTTTTCTCTTTCAAAGCCTGACCACAGAGCTCATCTTTGTAGTGTAGCCCCAGGATTACTACTTAACGTTCTTAATTGAACGCCAGGGCAGGGCCCGGTTGTTGGGGTGTGATGGTGTGAAACTGTTCTAATGCCACGCGCCACCACAACAGAGACAGCTCCCTCACAGTGACACCGTCTCTGCACCAAGATCACCCGCTTTGTGTGGGCAGCCCACTCTTCCTATTGATCTTCATGAGGAACAGGACCCTTTGTATAGTGCACATTGGTCTCATTGCCCATTGTCCAATTCTCCTGGGTTTTATAGATGAAACTCCTATGTGGGTGGTGTGCTTGCTTGTAGTTGGGGCTTGGTCCATTAACCCTATTAACAATGGCTGCCATTTTGGTCAGGAAGAAGAAAAGTGTGCTTAGACCAACATGAACTTCTGGATTTGTGCTGGGCCATATTTTGTCTCCGTTCCTTTCATTCCCTTAGGGCACATATTGCTAATCTGTGTTTTGACTGCTTTCTCAGGCAGGGTTTGTGGAAGTACACATCCATGCGTCCTCACACACAACACACGCAGGTGTTAGATTTGTTTCCCACCAATCAGGGTTTGTTCGTGTAAGCAGAGCAGGTCAGGTGAGAAGGTCAGGATCATGACATGAGGAGACACAACCTGGGAATTCTTTAAAGTTGTTTACAAAACTCTTGGCAATGCTATTATATATTTTTTTGTTTACTTTTCCATAATAGGAACATTTCGAAACGCATGCAGACAGGGTGTTATAAGTACTTTACACTTGGATGAGTTAATGGCCTTGAAACACAGGGAAGTGCTTTTAAAACTGAGAACAGGAAGCAGTTGTTTACCGGTCAGGAACAAGCTGCCCGGCCATGTTGATGAAGCTGATACTCTGGTTTCTTTCAAGAATCGGCAGGGATCAATTCCTTCTCTCTTTTGTGAACTTTCTTGCGTTCTTACTGCACCTATGTGTTCATTTAGAAAAAGGAGCTGCAGTGCTCGGCTGTCACTTCTTCACTTTGAAACTGCAAAGAGGTTGAAGCCCTTCCTCATAGCACAGTGTCTGGAAGCCATCTCAGGATGAATGATCCCCCTCAGCTCAGTTTTAGGATGAGGTGTTGGAGCAGGTATTCACCGGCTGCTACCGTAGCCTTTGGTGCTGGAGCTCATGAGCTTTTCTGGTTTGCAATCTTTTTTGTTTGGTCATAAGATATGTTCTTGTCCACCTTAGGCATTTCGCTGTGCTTCCACTATTCCAAGTGAAAGAAGGTCTTTCGGACCTCTAGGTAGAGCTTCTGACTCCCACACGGGGGCTTTTTCGGAAGAACGAGGCTTCTGAAATAAAATGTAAACCCCTGGAGTTCCAGCTGAAATGGATATATGAGATCAGGACCTGGGGTACAATCTTGTGAATGCGTACAGACACCAGCATAAGCAGCCACTCTACGAACGAGCACTGAGATCCTGTCTTCCCATTTCAATATTCACAGTGTGTACACTGCAGCTCCTGCAAATCATAATCCATTAAAGAGACTGAGTCTGGTGACAAATCTATCTCGGAGAACAGTCATACCCAGGTATACGTTGGGGATGCATTCTAGAAAAGAGTGCCCTATAGAGAATCAATGAATGCTGAACAAATGTCATTATTAGGATTAAATTTAAACAGGGGGTTAGGTTCTGGGGCTCAGCCATACAGTCTACATGCACATAAGAGGTGTTTTAGTACATTCTTTATTAAGACAGCAATATCCGAAATAAACAAATATAGGTCTTAGGATATATATTCAAGCAGTCTAAGATTAAAAAATAATTTAAACACTAATTTAATCTGACATACTGAGAAAAGCCTTGCGTCATTTATTAGTTTGTATACATTAAAGCCTCTTTTGGGTTTTGCTCCAGCTAATGACTTCATCATAGGCAAATGTGTTTGTCTTTGCCCTGTGCTGACTCCTGGGTTTGAGCAGCTGAAGTGTAGCCCGGGGGGTTGAATCAGAATGATGAATGGCACTCCTGGCGGGACTGTTTGTACGTCTGTTCCCACCTATCGGTTCACCAGTCGTTTCAGTCCGAAACGAGTGAGCGCATTCTTAGCAACCACAGCGGCAATGGGAAGAACATGTCCAATAGGTGCTTTTGAAGCCAAGACCAATATTCTGGATACTGGAATACATACTGCATTGTATAAGAGTGGAGAGGGAACAATGGCACATATACTGCTTGATGATGATGATTATTGTTGTTTCGTTGTTAATTATAATGTGAATGATATATTATATATTGATGATGATAATAACAATGGAAAGGTTTTCCATGATCAGAGAAGAGAGGGTGTGATGTGAGTGTAAATTACGTGTCTGCCGCTCTCCGGTGTGCGTTGCTGGAAAGGGACAGTGGGGACAGAGCCTTGCACGGGGTGGCTGATTGTGTCCTGTCTGTGTTCAAACAGGTGGACCTGGAGCCCGAGGGGAAGGTCTACATTGTGATCTCTCTCACCGGCTCCTTCACAGACGGTAAGCCGACCACCGCCGCCGCCGTCTCCCTTCTCTCCCAGAGTGTGCCCGGGTGTGACTCCTGCGCGGATCCGTGCGTCTGCAGGAATACTGCTCGGGCTGACAATCGGACAGCTGTGCGCCGTTCGGCATCCCGCCAGAGTATCTTCATCCCCTCTTGTTGTCTTACTGAGTCTTATTCCAAAAGGGTTTCTCTGAGACTTGATATACCTTTAAGTTGTGATAACGTACTGACACTATCTTAATGTTAAACCACTGTGGTTCCAGATCTCAAGTACACAAAGGCTGTGTAATAAATCTTTTGGATATGAAGCATTTAGCTTAACGATTGAAAGCTGCAGTCCTCTGAGACGCTAAGACCGCTGAGACCGTTTTTGTCTGTGAGCGGTCTGGGGGGCTCCATTTCAAGTGCTGGAGTTAAAGGGGTGCTGTGCTGATGAGTAATGCGCCCGCTGGACTCCTTCAGGGCTCGCCACCCGTTTCCTCTGTGATACGCCTGTGCATGTTCTAATAGTTCATCTGACTTCCTGCAGTGCTCTGGCAGGGCAGCGCAGCGTGTCGAGCTGGCTGCGGGTCTCCTCGCTCTGCTGGCTCTGTGCTCGTGTTCACCCCCCCTCAGGTCACGCTTGACTCCCAGCAGCCCCCACTCAAGCCCTGCGGCCTGCCAGGTGTTGTAGCCTGTGCACAGCGCGCAGGGAGTCTGGGCTGTGGTGCTGCAGACAGTGACACACTCTGCACTTCCTGCGCTGAAACCCAATTTGATGTATTTGTGTGATGTAATTGGCCGTCAGGTATCGGGTCCAAACTGACCTGTAAAAATGCAAACCAAGTCCAGTACAGGACGTGCCTCTGCAGTGGCGCCGAGCAGAGTGCTCCACAACTTCAGAACAATAAGATGGACAGCTGGTGTTCATCTTGGAGAAACTGCCTGAGCTGCCCGTGTCATAAGTCTGGGTATCGAAGATCCAGTGACTAACAGCAAGACCAGCTTTGGTGACAGTGTGTTTTACCAGTCGGCCTCAGAAGTTTCATTTCTGTTCAAGTTCCCTATGATCTGCAAGGCAGTGGCTTTTTTAGAAAAAAGAAAAGGCAGAATTGTCAAGTGGTTCCGAAAAAGAAACACAGGCTCATGTACAATACCAACGTGCATGTATTTAAAGCTACCAACACAATGGCTGAATTCAATGCTGAGTAATTGTTTTGAGGAGCATGAAACCTTTTCCATCTGCTCACACGAAGTTAATGAAGCTCTAATTTCTCTGCCAGCTGTGTGTTGCTGTGGAAGGCCTGCAGGAGTGGATATGAGCTGTAGTGCCTGGCGGCTCTTAGAGGCCGAGTTTACTTTTGGACTGAGATGGGTTCTGAGCAATGTTCCCTCTAAGCTGTGCACACACAGGTTATGAAATCAGCACACATAGGAAATTGAACTGCGCACAAAAAAATTAAATTCCCCCAAAATATATGACAATAAAACAAACACAGTCGTCATCTGAAAAGTGCGGAATTGACCACTGACTTGACTGTGTGCATTATTATTTCTACTCGATCATCAATATCTATGCTCTCGTAGTCTCGTACCTCACTGTTCCAACTCGCTCCAACTCTCTCCACGCTCAGTCTCCATGACTGGACTCGCTGTGTCACTGTCCTGGTCTTTAGGCTCTCTGTGCTTCACAATAAACAGCCTTTTCCTTTTCCAGTTTGCACAGTGTGCGTCGTTGAACGTTGATATCGTAGAAACGTAGACTAATAGTTTTCAAATTTGGATTACTCAATTAAAAGTGTATTTTACTTAAAAAAATAAAAACGTTGATTCACTATGTCGAAAGAGGTGAAGACCTGCAAGATCATTTGAAGGGGAACGGCTTGACGAATTGGTAGAACCCCCCTACTCCGAAAAGTCATCATTTGATATATGTTCCGTTGCGAGAAATATTAACAAAAATTAATTTCAGGTTAACAATTTTATATACACTTCGTTTGGTTTCTACACTTTTTTTGTCACTGGGAAAAACAAATTGCACAACTTGATTTTTTTGCTCACACAGGCCATTAGAAATTAGAGGGAAGATTGATTCTGAGTGGGTTTTGCCAGTTCTTCCCATGCCCGAGTGGATTCAGTGGCATTCTGACTAGGCTCATGGGTGTCTGTGAATAGTCCTTGTGTTCTTGCGTGCCCTGAGATGATCCAGGGACCTATCCAGGGTATGATCCCACCTTGTACCCTGTACGTCTGGGACAGGCTAGTTTGCTGTAACTTTATCAGGAAGAAGAGACTTTGTGACGATGAATGGGATGTTTATTGCCATACCGTTCCACTCTTTGACACTGCATTTCTTGCATGCTTTTGACATGACTTTCATCTTGAACCTTTTCCTTTTGTTAAAAAGCTGTTATTAACTGATGCATTTAGTCAGTAACCAGTCAACGCGTCATGACAGCAGTGCTTTTCTGTGAGCTGTGTTTGTAGTGACAGGGAGTTTTTGCATTGGAGTTGGAATGCAGACAGAGCATAAGGAATTGAAATCAGACAAGATTAGATGAGCTGATCATTCACAGGAGATTCTTAGTTGAATAGATAAAAAGAGATAAATAGAGACCATAAGCTGTAAAGGAGAAATACAAAATACAATTTAAATGATAGAAGTAAAAGTTAAGGGAAGAAAGTCTCCGGTTAGCTCACTTGGTGGTTACCAGTGTCTGGAGTTTCCATTGTGTAGGAACCAGAAATGCCTGACAGGCAGAAAGCAGACACTGTGGTTACAGTTTTCGTTTGTGTTGCTAATGGCCTGTCATTAGAGAGCCCTTTGGACTGTGAATTCTCTGATGCCCGTGCAAAGCAGCAGCTCTGAGTGACCAGCATCGGTGCCGCCCGTCCACCATCAGTCCAGTCAGCAGTGTGAGTACCAGGGCTTACTGAGGTGCCAGCTGGTTCAGTATACATGAATGTGCAGCTGTAGGTATCTGAGGAGATGACTCCATTTCCTGCCCTCACCACCCACAATGTGCTTGTGTGCTTAACGCAGGACAGAATTACTTTTGATTCCTAGAAAGGTCGACATAATTACAAGCAATATTCCAGTAGATTATCTTGGACGAAAACAACCAAGAAAGGTTGTTGTTGTTGTTGTTTTTGCCCTGTGCTTGTTATTTTAAACAGCCACAATGATAATTTCCATGGTGATGAGTGTGTCACCACTCTACTGATTGTGCTATTAAAGGTTCGCCCCCTCAGTGTACAGTGCCAGCCTGTTATATGGTATCCTTACGGTGTGTTTGTAGCTTGCAGCCCTTGGTGACCGTATACACAAAGGATTATGCTTTTTTTACCCCCGGGTGCCTGCATTTGTCGAGATGTGTGTGAGATCTAGAGCTGTGAACTCCTGACTTTGACCCTTATTTACAGCAGTAAATGAGTTGGTGTACAGTTGCCACAGGCAATACTTCCGCTTCCTCTAGATCTGTGTCTTACCATTGGTTCTAGCAGATCCATTGGTACCAGACAACAAGGTGGGCGGAGCAGTGGCTCTGTGTCTCAGGATCTGCGCCTGTGGCTGGAAGGTTGCCGGTTCAAATCCCGCGGCCGGCAGAGGAATCCTACTCCATTGGGCCCCTGAGCAAGGCCCTTCACCCCAACTGCTCCAGGGGCGCTGTACTGTATAAATGGCTGACCCTGTGCTCTGAGTCTGTGTATTTCATGGAAAGCAAGCTGGGGTTTGCGAAAATTTCCAATTTCCTAATGGAAGAAATTGTACATGGCTAATAAAGTGATCTTAAGAGGGTGTTAATTTAGCAAGTCTGTTCTCACGACTGTGTCTTTCACATCAGCACACTGAAAGAAGCAAGATTTTGAAACAGCCTTTTTTCCGGCTTGTGTAGTGGGATTAGGAGTACAGTGCAGTGTCACTGTTGGTAACAATGTGTGTCTTTTTCTCTTTGTGTGCGTGTGTGCTTGTGTTCTGTCAAGGCCTGGGTGTAAGGACTGCTCATGAACTGCTCATGTAATCAAGGCCCCAGCTTTGCTTACACTTATATAGTGCTTTTCTGGACACTCCACTCAAAGCGATTTACAGGTAATGGGGATTCCCCTCCACCACCACCAATGTGTAGCCCCACCTGGATCAGGCGACGGCAGCCATAGTGCGCCAGAACGCTCACCACACATCAGCTCTCAGTGGGTAGAAGAGCAGAGTAATGAAGCCAGTTCACAGATGGGGATTATGAGAAGGCCATGATTAGTAAAGGCCAATGGCCTGGACGCCGGGGTTATACCCCTACTCTTTTCGAGAGGCGCCCTGGAATTTTTAATGACCACACAGAGAGTCAGGACCTCAGTTTTATGTCTCAACTGAAGGACAGTGCCTTTTACAGTATAGTGTCCCCGTCACTATACCAGGGCATTAGGACCCACACTGACTGCAGTGTGAGCGCCGCCTGCTGGCCCCGCTAACACCACTTCCAGCAGCAACCTTAGTTTTTCCCAGGAGGTCTCCCATCCAGGTACTGACCAGGGTCGCACCTGCTGAGCTCCAGTGGGCTGTGATGTGGAAAGATTCGTTTGTTTCTCTCCGTGTACCTGTGCAATCTCGAGTTAGGCCTTTCGTCGTCCCCTTCCTCTGGCCGAGCTGATCTCGGCCTCTCTGTGACTTGCTGGCAAGTTTCGGTCCACTGCCTCATTGTGGTGGTGATCCCTCTCGCTCTCCGCCTGGCCGTTTCAGAACACGCCACAGCCAACGGCCGGACCTACAAGCAATTCACGCGGAAGCGGCAGGGAGCCGTTCGGCGCAGGATCCACCAGGTGAACGGACACAAGTTCATGTCCACCTACCTGCGGCAGCCTACCTACTGCTCCCATTGCCGGGACTTCATATGGTGAGTCAGCCCACACCCCGCCGTCTCACTGCCACGTGCTCAGGTGTGTGTGTGTGTGTGTGTACCAGGTTCCTACAGTCCTTACACAGAATAAGCGACCTTCAGCTGATGTGTGGGTGGTCTATATTCCAGCAGACGCATCTTCTTTTCTTCTCCAAGTAAATCCCACCTGACATTCCTGGACAAGTTTAGTTTGCTGGAGAGGACAGTTCTCCAGCACCGTGCACGCTGCCTGGTGTAAGGACCTCACAGGGGTGCAGGGAGAGCAGAGAGGCTGGGGAGCTGCTGTCTGTGCTGAGGCTCTTCTGACTTTCTTCTTTCTGATTATAGGGGGGTGTTCGGGAAGCAGGGCTACCAGTGCCAAGGTATGTTCCACTTTCTGCCGTTCTGCATTTCCTGTATTCATACACTGTATATTTGCAGAAGGTAACCTTCATCCTCCTCGTCTTGCAGCAGATATCTAACTGGCCTGATGCAGGAGTCCACAGCTCTCAATAGGAGTGAGAAACTACTTTGCATGCTCAAACAAACCAACAAACAGACAGGGGGACTAGACTCGAGGTTTAGTGAAAGCACTAAATGCTGCTGTTTCTTGCAAACAGAATAAACCCACGACAAACTCTTAACCAGTTTGAAACTGCCTCTGGCTCAGGTTTAAAGGTGTCAGCAACAGACAGAGAAAGGTCATAAAGAGGAAAGAAGGTTTCTAAATGCCTTCTGGATGGGGGATGGGCTGGAACTGTTCGGGAGAATAGAGGACAGGCGTCGCAAAATAAACACGCTGGCTCTGCAGTTGTCTACTCTCAGTGAAACCACTTCATTGTCAGTCCACTTTGAAGGAAACGCATGCACTGTGAGAAAGCAGCTTACACCAGCCTCTGCTATTGTGCAGCTCTATCTCCCCCATATCACTGGGTGAAAAACCGCTGCCTAGGCTGAGCTACTGTAGAACACAGTTGCTCTCTGCAGGCCCACCACAGACTGGGGACTGCAGGCTGTACACCCTTCGTGACCGAGAGCTGTCAAGTCTGCATTTCCTTTTTCACTCCCTTCGCGGTACATTTAGCGGACTTCATTTTTGACACTCATGTAGACCTTCATCTTTTCTAGTATTTTGAGAGTTTGTTTTTTCAAGAGCAGCGAAGTCGGTTTGTTTTCTTAGTAAAAAAAAGAGAGAAAAAGGAAAACCACTTGTGAAAGCTCACAAGTCACTCTGCACTTTGCGAAGGCTTGCTTGTAGAGCCCAGCAGGGAGAGTCATTAATCCATTCATTCAGTCAATCATTTACTACAATTATCTAGTGCTACTTGCAGTGTGTCTGTATACTTTTTCTTATTGAGCTGTAAAAATTGACTTCATACAACATTTAAATAGAGTTCTGGTGCTCAAATGGAAATTCAGCCCAATGCAATACGATATGTTGTATAGTGGTGGAGACTAGCTCCTAGAGATCTGGAGAGTCTTTAGGTTTGCAATCTGCTTCTGCTCTTAAAGACCAAACTGACCTAATCATTAGATTAAAAAAAGCAATTGAACACTTTACTTCAGCGGTTGTTGATTTAAAGAGATATAGAAAACCTGCATTTCTGAGCTGTAGTAGTTCAAGTGTCTTACAGCACACCAATGCAAGATTTGATGATTTATTGTGTCTGTCCTATCCTGGCTCTCACTACAACTATGTCTGACTCCAACTGAGCTCTCAAGCTGCTTTATTTAACACTAAATAATTTGGCAATTAGACTTTTTTCCAAAGTTTCTGTCCCTGACGCTAATGGAGACTTCAAATGATCTTTGAAACTGCTTATTTAACTTGAATGTTGCTGTCATTTTTTGATGCTGTTATTTGGGAGCTCAAAACACACGTTTAAGAAAATGATTATTGCACTTAGGGCTTTGGTTAAATAGCCAAGAAGTCCGCTGGAAAGCTGGCCCTAATATATGTCAGTCAGGAGCATATTGCATACGGAGGAGCTCTAAAATGAAGGTCAGCAGAGAGTCTTTACAGAAAGTGAAACAGTTAAAGGGCAGGCACGTGACTGGTTGTGTCCTGTCTCTCTCTCTCTTTTCAGTGTGTACCTGTGTTGTCCACAAGCGATGTCACCAGCTCATTGTCACAGCATGTCCCCGCATGAAGAAACCCGCCAATGAAGAGGTCAGGGAGAACGCACGCTGCTGCTTTCTTGTTAATACAAGACAGTTCAGTGCAGAAGACGCCTGTACAGAAATAACCATTCTAGCTGTTCGTCACAAGAAAATTCTCCAAAACATGTAGTTACAAACCGGCTTTAACTCGGGACCTTACCTTTCCTGTGTCAAACTGCGCTCACTGTGTAGTGCCTGAATTAGTTTGACTGTTTGATCAGGGCTTGTCTACAGGGGAAAAAACGAACAAATATGAACGTCAGCCTCCTTAGCATGGAGAGGCATTCTCATGAGCTGAGAGGCAAAGTGTTTCAGTTGTTTTTTTGTGGTTTCTGAAACGGGAGATTCAGTTGTTCTGTACCTTCTACACTCATGATGTTCTGTTGACAGTGCACGCGCCCCCAGACACATGCAGATTATGCAGATCAGACACATGCTCAAAAGCATTTCAGCCGTCTTGACATTCACAGTCAAGCAGAGCAGACGGCACCTGACGTGTTCTAACTCTTTCAGTCAGTTTAGATCAAAGAATTGTATTTCTTTTAGAAGTAGGGCTCAGAAAAATAACACCACATTGGTAAAAACAAGGGGCAGAAACTGTAACAAAGGCACATGTGATCCTCTTAGCTCATGTGCAGTCACTCATAGGTTGGGTGATGCTGCCACCTAGCAGAGCTGTCAGTATTGCAGGCTGTTTCTGTCGGAGCGACCAACTTGACAATAAAAACAAAGGAGGAACCAGAAACTGTTTAATGGGGAATAGCTACGGAGCACGGTGCTTATTTTCTCCTGCCTGGTTATACAAGTGTGGCTGCAGTTGTGAGACTACCGCTGCACAGTTTTGTGGAAGTTTAGTTTCACATGCGCACACACACACCACTTAAAGAGGCAGAAAAGGTGGGGTTATTTTTTTTTCCCAACTAAATGAGATGGAGTCAGTAAGACCTCTTAGCTGTGATTACCCAGCATCAATTAATCCAGTTTAATAAAACATAGTTTTTTCTCATTTACATTTTTTCACACTGGCTTGTTTGTTGAAATTGTGTTTCTGCTGCCTAGCCAGCTAGCAGTCAGGGGTAGCGGTGGAATACTTTTGCCCTGGAAGCCTGTGGCTTCACAGGTTTACTAGGTCTCTAGAAGCATGCAAATGATGCTTAATCTGTGCAGTTTAGAAACTAATTAGTTTTGTTAGTAACTAGCAAGTAGGAGAAGACTTGGAAGACCCCAGAGAACCTGGTTAGCCCGCTAGTAGATTAGTGTGTCAAAAGGTTTTGATGAATGCAGGTACAGTTTTTCACCAGTGTGTCTCGCAGGCCTCAGGCCTGGTTGCTGCAATGGGACTCTCGCCTCTGACCAGCTCCTTGGTCGCTCACTTGCTGCAGCGCGGTGCAGCAGTGATTCGGTCACCAAGCGTTATCATTATCAACATTATCATGATTATCATCAATCCTGTGTTTTCTGTGCGCACGGACAGGCCACTAACCAGGGCTTCAGCATCAACGTGCCTCACAAGTTCAACATGCACAACTTCAAGGTGCCGACGTTCTGCGACCACTGCGGCTCGCTGCTCTGGGGCCTTGTGAGACAGGGCTTGCACTGCAAGAGTAAGTCTTCCTCTCTCCCTTTGCACCACTGCACGCTGCTCAAGCTCCGAGTGCGCAGACTACTCATTGCTCTGCCAGGGGAAAGTTTAATACTGGATATAGTCACTGTGATATCGTTTGTTTTATCGATCCATATTTTTGTGGCCACAGTAATTTTTGTTTACTGTGCTTAACACCTTTCCTGTAGAGAACTCTAAGATGCTTTGGGGTGATGAGGCACTGTATAGTTTGTCTGTGTGCATGTTGTGCCATGCACTTTGGCACACAGCGAAACTGATGGTATCTGAAGGCTAAATGAAGTTTTGTTGTCTTGCGTATGCTTGGTGGCAGATTATTCTGTCGGCTTGTCTTATCTGTGTTGGGGAAGAGACCGTAGGGACTGATGGTATCGCTGCCTGGAGGATGTTGCGTCCTCCTGACTGTGTCTCTGTGATTTGTCCGCAGTCTGCAAGATGAACGTGCACATCCGCTGCAAGCCCAACGTGGCGCCCAGCTGTGGGGTGAACAGCGTGGAGCTGGCCAACAAGCTGGCCGAGATGGGGCTGCAGGCGGGGGGCCTGTCCAAACGCAACTCCATGGTAGTGACGTTGTCTCTGCTGTCCACTGTACTGTCCCCCCTCTCCCTCACACTGTGTCTCCTATCACTGGGCAATACCTCTTCACCGAGCGTTTTAAAGGCCATTCCAGGGCTCTTAATTTACTGCACTCTAGATGAAGCACGATTACCACAGGCCTGCAGGATTCTGGAGTGCTGTAACAGGGTGGAGGTGGGAGCAGAAAAATGGCTCCTGATGTTTTTTCTCATAGGCTCGATCAAACTCGTTTGACTTTCTGTTGTCCTGAAACACTGAAACATTTGCGTTGACCTCACGAATGCCCTGCACTCCATCAGCATATTTTTACAGTTTAGGTGAAACGGTAAAAAGCGCTGGGAAATTACCAACCTCAAAATAAAGCTGGTTTAGCCAACATCTCTAAATGCTTATTTTTGATTTAGTGCGGGGTCCCCGGTTTTGAGGAAATAACAGTGACTTTCTAACGACAGCCGGGGAAGGGTTCTTCTACTTGTTCACAGTGTGGTGTAGAAACATTCACAGGAGTCTGTTGGGAGTGTGAAAAAGCTTTGATTTCTGTCCTGTCCACGATAACGGAGACCCGGGGCTGGATCGCTTTTTTCCCAGACCTGCAACAACAACGTGGAGTCTCCGAATCGGAGGTCCAGCGAGAAGGAGACGCGGTCCGTCAGCTTCGACAGCGAGACCCGGAAACTGGGCATCGATGACTTCACCTTTCTGCAGGTGCTGGGCAAGGGCAGCTTCGGAAAGGTGCGTCACGGCCACATCCTGTACCTGGAACTGATCAGTCACCCAGCAGTCCAGCAGAGCTTAGTTCTAGAGTTCTAAAACCACATTGTCATTAAATAACACTCTGTCGGTGCCAGCTGTTTGATTGCCTTCCTTTTTTGTCAGTCTGACCTGATTCTCCTTCGCCCCTGACCAGATACTGAGCCATTTGCGACTGTACACTTTGTGGTGGTGGGAGGGTTTTTAAAATGCCGCTGGAGCAAAACAAGTGCTAACTCGGTGTTAAAGCTTCGGACGAACTACACTGTTTTGCCTGTCTGCCCCCTGCTGGTCTTGGCGCCGGAGCCACGAGGCTGTGTGCCGCCCCGCTGTGACGAGCGGCTGTCTCCCCTCGCAGGTGATGCTCTCCCGGCTGAACGGCACCGAGCGGGTGTTTGCAGTGAAGGTGCTGAAGAAGGACATCATCCTGCAGGACGACGATGTCGAGTGCACCATGACGGAGAAGAGGGTGCTGTCCCTGGCGGGCAGTCACCCCTACCTCACCCAGCTCTACTGCTGCTTCCAGACTGTGGTGAGGACGGCACGCCGCGCCGCACTCCCAGAACAGGCAGAGAGAGATGGAGAACTGAAAACAGACGTGCAGAGAAACATTGCTCCTCTGCCCCCTGTTCATAATGGGCATCAACACCAAAGCACATAATTATAGACCAATAAGTCTTACATCTCTTACATGGAAACAATAATTAGAATTAATCAAGAGGATCAACTGTGTGGCAACATGGATTTAGGAAACTCCAGTTTGAAAGAGCAATGGCAGGAATAGATACAGTACAAATGGAGCACATGATATGGTACAATAAAAGTTTCACAAGGGCTTTGACCATGTTCTGGGTAAAGGATGAATTATTCAGTTGCAGCTGGGAGGCATTCATGGTGTGTCTTTGGATTGAGAACTGATTAAATGACTGAAGACAGGCTGTATAGATAAGGAGTGAATGCTGCAGTTGGGGTGATGTAATTAGGAGAGTACCACAGGGAACTGTATTAGGACAACTGCTCCTCCTAATTCATATCAACAGTCTGGATTGTGGCGTAGTCAGTAAATGAATCAAGGTCACAGACTAGCTATAGAGCAGTGTTTTGATGTGCTTCTTCCTCATTATACAAGTGTGGCCGCTGTCGTGAGAGTGTAGTCACAGAGTGAAGTTAACGCTGAAATATAAGAAACTGACAAACACTACAGAACCAGAAAAGGAAATTCCAGAAGATTTAGAGCAGATCTGGGACCGGGGGAAAACAGAAACATGATTTTTATTGTAGACCAGTGCAGAGTGTTACATGCAGATAACAACAAAAGCTATGTGCTGCATGTAAGATGGGAAACACTGAGTCTGAACATGCAACCTGTAAAAATCCTGTCTTAATCAGAATGGTACAACTTATAGTTAAGAGTGTAGACATTAAATCAAGGGGTGTTATGTTAATATTGTGCAATGCAGTAGTAAGCCTATATTTAGAATACTGTGTATAATTTAGGTCACCATGTTACAAAAACAAAAATGATATTACTGTTGTAAAATCTGACTGGAGAGAGCAAACTTGTGCATTCCTGGGCTGAAACGAATGTTCTTCTCAGACAGGCTGCAGGAACTGAACCTTTTTAGTCTTGAGCAAAGAAGACCATGATTCCAGGCTGGATGAAATCTATCAGCTATTAGCAGCGCGGCCTCCTTTCCTCTCTGCCCTGTCCTTTTTCTTGTGCAGAGCAGAATTCAGGTGCTTGCAAAAACAGAGTGAGAGAGAGAGAGCGAGAGAGAATGGAGACGATCTATCAGAGCCACAGTAATGGACAGCATCGCCTGAGGAGGGAAGCTCCCTGTGGGTTTGACGGCAATGGATGAAATGACACTTGGTGTGGATGGCAGAGCAGCAGGAGAGAGGCAGGCTGGGGGCGGGGCAGCAGAACCCTCTCGTGTCACAATCTCTGACTGCCGGTGTGATCTATACAAAAAGTCAGCAAACGGACAGAAAGTGGATCCCTCTCTTTCACTGCCTGGGTCTCCCTTGCAATGAAGTGGCTCAGTGAAAAGGCTTGTACGGGAATGTAATATTTCCCAGGAGGCTCCACTAGGGGGCAGCAGCAAGCCTGTCCTACTTTTCCGCCACAGAATGGCTGTAGGGCAGAGAACGTGAGGAATGGGCACAGCCGCTACTGTTCCCTTCCGCAGGCTGTGCTGGGCCTGTGGAGGGTCAAACCTCAAACCTGCTTTCTCTGACCGCAGTCGCTCACCCTCTTGGTGGAGGACAGATGAGCTCAGACTGTGCAGTCCTGCACTGTGGCCCTGGTACCTGCATCTCTTCTCAATTTCCTCATGCAATCCTTGTTTTTTTTATAGAACAGTATGACTCGCTCTCTTCTTTTTAAAGCAAACGACACGCAAAAAGATCATTCCGGCCGGAAGGTTTTTTTGTCACGGGGACAAGACAGGTCATTAGAAATCTTCCAAAAGCCGTAAGACATCGCCATCATCGGCTTCTTCCACACGGTGACTTAGGGCAGTGGGACCCACTTACGGTAGTTACACAGCAGTGCGTCTCGACATTTTTCCCATCTCATTGCTCAGAGGGATCTCTGTACTTCTTAAATCATTTCAAGTCAAACAAATGAGCAGCCTTGGTTGTGGGGCGGAGAAAAGCTTGAGCCTGGAGTGCTGTTACTGCCGCAGCAGAGAAAGTTTTTGGTGCTGATCAGCGCTAAATACTGCGCGGTGTCCCGCGTACGTTCAGGCGTCAGCTCTGTAAACACTATTAAGTAATTTTCTCTCGCAGAGAGAACAGCCACAGGCTGCCTGGGTCTGCAATATCTCTGCAGCACGTTTCTGAGCCCACAAGTGCCACACGTCTGCAGCGTGCCCGTCCAGTCTCAGCAGGAGTCTCCGTGAAGCAACGATGTAGCTCTGAGCCCTCAGTGATCCTGGTTCTGACTGAGTCTGACATCACAGCCCAGTCACAGGCTGAAATGACTTGCCCCCTCGTATGTCTGGAATTCCGTACCTAGCATAGAAATCCTCATCCTCATAAGCTCTGGAGAAGCAGCTTTTTTCCTAAGGATGGGGCACTTGCTTAATTTATATCTCCTAATAATCCCCATCTCTGAACTGGCTTCATCACTCTGTTCTCCTCCCCACTGAGAGCTGGTGTGTGGTGAGTGTACTGGTGCCCTGTGGCTGCCGTCACATCATCCAGGTGGGGCTACACACTGGTGGTGGTGGAGGGGAGTCCCAATGACCCGTAAAGCGCTTTGAGTGGAGTGTCCAGAAAAGCGCTATATAAGTGTAAGCAATTATTATTATTATTATTATTATTATTATTATAATTATTATTATTATTATTATTATTATTATTAATTTAGCTGAACAGCTTTGCCATCCATCAACATTGCATCACATTGTATTAAGGGCTGACCATAAATCTGTAGTCCCCTAGGATGAAATGATGGTCGGCTTCTGGCAGTGGTTTTCTTCGAGTCTCTGCCTCTGGCGGGCACGCGCAGTCACCTTGCACTTTCACCGGGACGATGTGTCTTCTCTCAGTGGGAGAGACATGCCTCCCTGCTGGCACCGATTGTCCCACAGTACTCACACCCTCACGTTAGACCCCATCAGGCTCAGTCACAGGGGCCTGCGCGCTCCTGTGGAATTCCCCGCGGGTTCAAGACCAGTGCGGAAAATGGGTTTGACCCAAAGATCTTTCAGGGTCATGCAGGCCGTTCATCCACAGTTACACAGGCATTGCTTTCTCTTTCTCCCTCCTCGAGGGAGATTCGCGCTTAAAGAGCCATTTCTTTTTGCGACGCGTCTTTCTCTTAGCGAGGCTCGTGCTCCTATGGTGGGAGTGAGGACACTGTGTTTAAGGAAATAACCACATCTGTGACCCGAGTGTTCGCTCCCCCAAGAGGACGAGAGGAGTTTCTCAGGCAGTGGACGGGAAGGAAGGGGTTGGTGTGTCTGGACACTGGTCTGTCCATGTCATGGGAAGAATCAGTGTGAACCAGGAGCCCTGCTGACCTCAGACAGAAAGCTTTCCTTGTAGAGGAAAAGGATGATAGTGAGCAATAGGAGGATTTCACATTTCAGACTGCGCAAAGCTTCAGAGACCTATACTTGACATTTTCAAGCAGATATTCACATTGCATGCTCATGTATCTAAGCTCTCTCTTTAAAGTTGCATAAAAAGGATATTCTTTCAGCTTTAATTAAGACACAGCATTCCTCATCTCTATATCTTTTTTGTGTTGATGAGAATTGAACGGTTTCCACCAGCAGGATGCCAAAGATCAGTTTCCCATTTCATAGCCACAAATTAAGAAAGGTGTAGTTCTCTTCTCAACACCACGACCAAGACCTAAGCTCACAGATCTGCGGCTTACGTTACACTTAGAAGGATGGGATTGCAGATCTCGGGGGTCGGGGTGTAGACACAGTTCCTGATTGCTTGAATATGTGTGTGAGTGCATGTAGGGACCTAAAAAGTAATGCATTTCAATTGCAAGGTTCTCATGTAAATGTAATACGTTTTTTAAATTAATAAGCTGGGGGAAATTGCTTTTCAGTAGTAATGTATTCCTTTACCAAGTGACTGTTTGCTGTTAGAATAACCTCTTTCAATGATAACTTGTAGCTGTTGCACTCATTAGCAGTTGCTTGCCCTCACCTGGTGCTCATTGAAGCCTTCGCCGTGTCTGCCCTCTAGGACCGCCTCTTCTTTGTCATGGAGTTCGTGAATGGCGGGGACCTCATGTTTCACATCCAGAAGTCCCGGAAGTTCGACGAGGGCCGCGCGCGCTTCTACTCCGCAGAGATCACCTCGGCTCTCATGTTCCTGCACAAGAAGGGGATCATTTACAGGTGGGGTCTGTCGCGCCGCGTTACTGAGCCTGCCTTCTTCCTGCTCCTGCATGCACCTGGAGCTGCGATAAAGGAGGCAGGCACTGATCTGCCCTTATACGAGACCCTATATACGGAGTTCTGTTCTGTATGGTTACATATCATATTACAGGTGCTTACAGTCAGCAAGGGTGGACCCTGCCTGACAGAATGGCATATTCACTCAGTCTTTCCTGTTTTACTTGCAAAAGTGAGCTTCCTGTGTGGTAAGCATTGATTTCGGAAACGCATCAGGTTCGGACTATTACTTTGTTCAAATCACGTACAGTTTAAACGTATAGAGCAAGCCACGTGTTAACAGTCAAGGGTTAGTTACATTTTTCTGACCAGTTCATGGGGTCTGATGGTAAATCTGTGCCTGATGAGTGGCTTGTCAGCTGCTTCTAAAGCTTCCCTGGGGTGATCCTGGAATACATTGGTGCAGGTTGTCTTTTGATAGCTGCGTTTAGTAATGCTGGCGGTTTTGAACCCAAGGTGCGGTGTCTTTCTCTTATTCCTCACAGTTCAGCGCTGGGAGATGAGACGTCAGTATGGCCATCTCTTTTTCGCTGAAGAGATCCTGCAAAGCCCAGTTGGAATTATGTCATGAAAGGCGTTTTTAGGACAGTGGACACTTGCTTTGGGTTATGCAAACATTGCAAGTGTTGTAGCCTGGCAGGAAGGACTAAAGGTCTTTAGGGGTTTGAGGGATTTAAAGCCCATATGACCCAAAGGTTTGATTTAGAGCCACTGAATCAAATTCCCTGCTCTGCTGACCTCCTAAGTAATCAGTTGGCATCCTCACAGCAAGAGAGATTGGATTAGATCTGAATAAAACCGCGGTGGTTTAAAATTAGAATCTTTGCCTCCATGTCAGCACCGAAAGCATTATGGTCCTGTGTGATGAGCAAAACTCATTGGCTTCCAGTGTTCAGTGCAAAGACACACCAGCAGCAGTACCCTGTGGGGAGTACTATAGGCTCCAACCAGCACCTGTGCTGTGGCAGTAGCTGATCGTACTGGGCTGTAGATCCCTGTGTCCATTGTGGGCCTGCATGCCATCACCCACCTCTTTATACAGTCCATTTGTGTGCTAAACCACAGTCGCAGCCCATTTTTAAATCTTTTTTTGAGATCTTACCAGGCATCCATAGCATCACAGGGTGGCATGGCCGGGTCCTTGATCTCTCCTGATACATCCCTGTTTCGGGTGTGTGCAAAGAAGCCTGTTCATTCTCACACCAGCTCCTCCCATTACTCCCCCCACGCCTCTGCTCTCCAGGCTCAGGGCTGCAACAGCTGCACTGTGATGATCTATACCTTGTGTGAACAGTTGGTCTTTAATCTAATATTATCTACAGCCAAGGGTCATCTCAGCAGGCCTGTTCTATAGATGCACGTGTGGCAATTTTCCACTGAAGAGTGCAGGTTTGTGCCTCTGGCCAGCAGGGGTCATCCCATCCTCTGTGCGGTGCACCGAATACAAGAGAACTACTTGAAACTCACATCTGACTTTTATTACATCAGATACTTATTTTGATCAGCGCTACAGAATTGCAGGGCAGACCTTTTCCTCCTAGACACCCTCTCCAAACGTTGTACAGAATGGCACACACTAACAGGCCATACCAAAAGTGTTGTGGGTCTTAGGAAAAAAAACAACAGTGCATCTCGCATCCTGTTTGCTGCCGAAGAATGGTCCATTTCTTGGGAAAAAAAAAAACTGGCTTCTACTTTTTTTGGTAAAAAAATGTGTCTTGGTTTGCATTGCTCGATTGCAATGTTTTCTTAGTAATATTTCTCACTCCAGTGCGGTTTATGCTGTGTGTACAGAAGCAGTTTGCAGTCTCTGGCTCCCATAATCTCTGGGGGGTAGCTATGAGACAGAGCAGACAGGACAGCATGTACTGTAGTCTATAGTTGCAGAGAACTTCACTTTTAGCCCTTTTTACAGAAGCCTCTGTGAGAGGGTTTTTTTTGTCTATTCAGTATCATTGATGGACTGTTATCTTGGAAGTAGTTTCACAAAGAGACCATAGGGTTCTCAAAAGTCCATGGTCCGTGAAGGGTTTGGACTCTCTGGCTCGGTGCCAATGATGCCCAGTGCGTTCTGGATCCCCACGTCCAGGTGCAGCATCATCTGGGCCGCCCTGGAAAAATCACAGGTCTGGAACAGGAGTTCAGCAGGTGTCAGAGCGAGTGGATTTAAATGCCATTATGTCACAGTGTGACCTTCAAAAGCTATTGCAGCTTTAGAATAAATGTTTCCTTAATTCTCTTTTATTGCATTTGAAGGCAAGGCCCTGGAGCAAGAAATCCTACCATACATGAAACCGTAGTGACAGTCATGCAGCAGAAAATTCTAGTGTTGAACTATCACCCAGTAACCAATTTATTGAAGGCAAAAAGTTGACTTCTTGTCATGTGGTTGAACCACCAGGCTTTTTAAACCGAATTGCATTTCCTTTATTGCGTTTTATTGCGAGAACAGTACCGAGGACTCAGTGACAGATTTTATAATAAGCCTAACTACTGTATAGTGCAGAAGTCAATCTTGCTACTGCCAGCAAATAGTACAAAAATAATGGTGTTTGGCTGTTGGTTATTATTTCTTTGCTTTAATATGGTTTGTGTGAAATCAACAGCTGATAAGATTCATGAAAGCCTTTTTGGCATCCGGATCTTGGTGTGGATTTCCTGATCTAAGAGCTTATCTTAGAGCAGAACAAAAAAATTTAAATACTCCAGTGCCCCTGAAATGAAATCACTTTTATAGGTCACAGGCAAATTTGTCAAATAGTTGATAACATTCACTTGTTTGGATGTTGACCCTTAGGTCCCAGGCAAGCTAAAATGTTCAAGTATGTTAGCTGGAGTGTACAGTACGTTTTCTCCTGCTTTTTTCTCACTGCCTTAGCAAAGTGTTTCCTCTGACCTGGAAGAACCCCTGTTATGTGGCTGTGGTGAAGCAGGACTGGCACAGACTGATGCCTAGATGAACACAAATTTCCACTCGGTGATTTTCAAGGGTGGTTTGAATCTGTGGAACAGAGAAGGAAAGAATATGACAAATACGGCGTTGCTTGATTTTTTTTCTGACTGTCCGCAGTTCTTGTGATTCACCCACCAAAAGAAACTACATAAAGATATTTAACAGATTGTGCTGACTTGGCTGTTGGAGAATGTTCAATGTCGGGTATAAGCAGCTGTAACAGCAGTGGTTAAAATTCAAAGACGATTCTTAGTGTGCTTGTAATAAAGGCTAGCAAAGGTTTGTTGTTTCTGACTTTGGGAAAGTTTCTACATTTATGGTTCGTTATTGTAGATATGAAAAGATCTTAAATAACCAAAATCAAGAACTAGACCTGTCAGGCAAGCCACTAACAGATAGCAGTGGTTTAGTTTGTACACATGTGTGCTTGTAAAGATTGTTGGTCTAGTCTGTAGAGATTCTTAACATTGGCTTCAAGTTGCTGCAACAGCAGTGGTAAAACCCACTGCCAGCAGGGAGAACCCGAGACAGAGTTGCACTTTCGAATCACTGTGAGAAATCCGCTGGGATTAGACACGGATTCTTCCCCAAAGTAACACATCTAATCCCAGAATTCCCACACCTTCCAGAATCAGAACATCTCCCAATTTTACTGGGAGAGGGGGGAAGGAATTCAGGTGAGCTGGCAGCACAGTATGTGATGTCCTGTCACAGCCTGAGGAACAGTGAACTTTTCTTTCAATACATTTCTATGTGTTATATGTTGTATGTAAAAATGTCCTCAATGTATTTGTGTTATAAATGTCTGAAGATGTGGTATCGCTTGTATATGCTTTGGCAACACTAGACTTTACCAGTCTATTGGCACTTTACCATGCCAATAAAGCTGTTGGAATTTGAATTTGAAATCCTGTTTCCCTCTGAGTGAGGCTCATAACACAGCAAACCACTCTCATGTACACTGTGACAAAGAAGCACTCAGTATGTCTCCTTCGGCCACTGTTCCCTTCCCACCCTCTGAGCGCAGTGATATATTTAGAACACCAACACACCCTTATTATAAGACAGCAAGAGAATGGGGATTACACTTGGTGGTGAGATGGCTTGCTCATAAACAAGACTGAGTTCCAAACAACACTAATAGCGATGCCACCTCCTCACACAGTATAGTACTAGAACCTGCCCGTTCTTGTGCTTTAAGCTTTTGGAAACTATAAAAAGCTGTATTCCTTGTGAACTTCTAATAATACAGAGAACTGTGGGAAGCAGACTTATAGACTTGAAGCTTTTGTATCTCATATTAAGTGTACTTAGTTAATCACAGGCTTTGCTTCTGTGCACTTAATTATCCCTGTTCCCAGAATAATGCAGTTACTGTGCTTCTTGCTCACTCTTTTCAAGTGTTCAATGTTCAGTTGTGTCTCACCTGCACCTCATCTTCAGTGGCATTGCAGGTCACAGTGTGTGTATTCAAGCGAGGCTCAGAGTGGAGGAGCTCTGCGGTGCGTGGTGGTGTGTCAGAGTGTTCCGTGTTCTGCTTTTCTAGCATTGTTAACACAGCACAGCCCGTACAGCCTGAGACAGTAAAGCATCATTTCTGTATCCAGGTGATGTTGCGGTTTAATAGATATCACGTTTGTGAGTGTTGACGCACAGAAAATGCTATTTAAGATGCTGTTATTTTTTTTATCGTCTACAGGAAGCACATGTGGTGCATGAGAGCCCTGTGCTTTCCACAGGAAGCTCTGATATTAAAGTCTTTGTCCCGGATGCTCTTGTGCAACAGCAGGTCCCTCTGCGTGGCACTGAGGCAGCTGTGTCTTCCCAGTGTCCTACAGGTGATGTCAAGCCAGCCATCTCTGTGATGCCAACTCTGTCACACTGTGTTCAGATTCCACTCCTTGTGGCCTTTTAGTGTACAACCTAGAACCATCACAAGCAGGTGACTGAGGGCACATGAGTCCACACACTCCACTGCGTGTAAGCAGGTAATCAGGTTATTCATCAGGACACAATGTCAGCATTGTATTGTCTGCTCATATGTGGGAGGTGGCCTATATTGTGCAATCTTAATCTGCACTGTTGACACAAATCCAGGGTCTTACAATACTGCAATGTCTAAGTCTCCTCTGTAAGTGGCTGTATTAATCACGGGGTTGTGACAGTACAAAGCCAAGTAAGTGCAGTGGGTAAACAACCCCACCTTGGCTGGCTGTCCATCTAGGGAGGCAATGTGGATTGTTATCACTGTGACCCTGAATCAGCACTTACAGTAGAAGGCCAGACTTCCTTCACAGTACTAGTCCTTTACTAGTCCTCATTAGTCCTTGCAAGTCCTTTATTAGACATTAGTCCTTTTGTCTGGTATTGTGCCACCTGATGTCAATGCACTTTGTCTATCACTGCTTCGACCTTTCTGGAACAATTGAATCGAATGCAGCACATGGTCTCAGACACAAAGCATCTGCTGGGCAGAGGAAGGTGTTCCATTGCCCTGGCATGTGCCCTAGACACACTAAATCTGTAGTCTGCTTGTTTTTTCGTGTTGGCAGAGGGAACAAGGAAGGTTGCTCTCCTAGCTGTGTATGATGAGAGGATACAGTTTTCTGGCATGTGGGCAGACAGTCACAGGGCAGTATTCAAGGACAGCTCCTCCGCTGACATGAAACGTGACACAGACCAGGCTGTCTGGGCTCAGCGGGGCTGACATAAACCCTTTCCGTGCGTCTCCACAGAGCATGTCCTGCCCAGCAGTGAGACATGCAGGACAGTTCTTCTGTAGGAACGTATTAACATTTCACTGCAGACGGCTGCAGAAGATGCAAAGGTTTATCACCTGCATCTAGTCTAAACAGGCCTGTAGGAGGATTCTTGAAACAAATAATAAAGGATATGACTCATATTTATTGGTTTGCGTTACATTTCTACCATTTCTGAAAAAGCTTAAATATCCAAGACCTGAAGAGCAAGACTGCAATCCTTGCACTCATAAAATCAAACACTGAAGCATACTTAAAAGTCAGTAAAGGGCACTTTTGTGATAACAATCACATGGTTACTAGCGTCAATGCCTCTGTAATGATGAGTCTGCCAGAAGCACTAAGAAGTAATGTTTGGAATTTGTGGTCCACAACCAGTTCGGAGGCTTGGCAGCTGTGCTCCTAACCACTGCTCTGTGTGCTGCAGACAGTGCCTGCAGTCCGGCCTGTGTGCACCATCATGTTTGTTGTTGATATCAGAGGCCAGTCAGCGTCTCACCTCGGCCTGTAGTCATCAGTGCAGGGGCAGCGCTGGTCTCCTAGCAGTGGAGGAGCTGAGGTGGGATCAATAGGGGGTGCTGGGGGGGGTTGTGGGGGAGAGGGGAGCCACGCAATCGTAATCATAAAACATATCAGCACATGAAACATACAAAAGCGAGGGTGGGCCTTGTTTTCCCCAAGTCTTTGAGAAGCAGCACTACCTCTGTGGAGTGGGAGCCAGTGGCTGCCATGTTTCTGCTCAGGGCCTGTACGATCTCACTTGGTAAAAAGAAACTGCTGCCTCTCGGGATGCAAATGGCCCTGTTTCACCATCTGTAATTCCGGTAAATTGCTGCCGGCTCATGGTCTGCGGGAACTAAATCCCGTTTCCCAGGGAGGTGTTGTTATAGACAAGGCCCCAGGAGCCAGGGCTGTAATTGCCCAGTCTGTCTGAGCAGAATCTCAGCTGTCGAAAACACTGGCTGGTAGGGAGAGCAGAGCCGTTATTTAGTGGGAGCTGTTTCTCACGTATCCACTGTCTCCTGTTTCCTGTTTTACTTTTTTTGTTTTTGCGGGCTGGAACAAAATTAGATATTTCAAATCCTTTTTAGTGCTTCCCCACCATCACCACACAGTGTCATTACTTAGTGTCGCAAGTAAAACCGAACATGGGAGGGCTCTGTCCAGATGACTAGTTCGGCAAACTCCCAGGACTGCTTTCCGTCTGTGTTCATGGGGCCAGGGTGCCCTTAGCCCTCAGACTGACCATCTCAAGCCAGTGAGGTACAAGGCATCAGGGAGGAGCGGCTATTTTAGGTCATCGAGAGACATTTTTGTTCTTTGATGCTTACATAGTTTTGGTAGAAAGAAAAAGAAAACATATATGAAAGGCTGGTGAGGTCACCTCATTCACCTGCTTGTATGTCTTCTCTGCTAGGACAGCAGTGTTCAGGGTTCTGGACTTGTACCTGGAAGGTTTGTGGGTTCAAATCCCTGGTGAGACACAGCTGTTGTAGCCTTGAGCAACTCAGACTGCTCCAGCAAAATCCCCCGTTTTATAAATAGGTGCAAAAGTAAGTCACTTAAGATGATACAGTCAGGCAAATTATATAAATGTAAGTCTCGCAAAATGATCTTTGATTGAATGCATAGTTTTGGTTTTAATTAGTGAGAAACATGTGCCCTTCATGGTAAACATTGCTGCCTCCATGGGCAAAACCAGAGAGTTGCAAAATCAGCAAATTGCACCTTTGCACAGGTGTGAGCTGGCCAGCGAGGGCTGGGGTTTCCTGTAGGAGCCTGGCACCCTTACCCAGTCCGGGACGGAGCCTCAGGGCTGCTCCTGGACTGAACACACAGTCTGCCTTGTAACTGGAGGGCCTGCGGGGATCTGCCAAGTTTGCGTTGGCAGCTGCCGAGCGGCTTTACTGGAATCTCCAAACGTTTTAAAACGCAGCGAGAAGCAGCAGCACAGCCCACACTCACTCCACATTTGCACACTCCTTCCTAGTAGGCTGGATAAATGGCACATCAGCACTCTGGGGAGACATAGCCAGGGCTACAGCCTTATGCGTTCTTTCTCCAATTAAGCCACTGACTCTGTTGCTGGATTAGATACTCTGCTGGTTCCATCAAAGCCTGCGATGAAGTGACAGTAAAAGTGCCGCCACAGTACAGTTAACTTGGCTTTGGTTCAAGGTGTTCACCACATGAAGTTTAGAAAAAATAAAATCCCTGTCAGATAATTAGACTAGTTAAATTACTTCAACCTGCTTTCCTACAAATCAGTGCCAACACCCACCCAAGACAAGTGATTTCCAATGACACCCCTGCAAGCACATAGACCAGCAACTGTGCTAAAAATGTAGAATTTACATTCTGTCATAGAACGCACAGCAGAAGGCCTCCAGCCATCTGTCCTTGTATGTATAATTTCATACCCTTCCAGGTTGAAAGTTAGGTTTTGAACCTAAAGTTTGTGAGTTAAGAGCAGTGGTTGCTCAACATGTTGAATCATGGGTATGAATATTAATGAATTCTTCATCCAATCACAACGTTGCCAGAGATTCTTACCACTTCTAAATCTGCCTTTTTGGCCATATAACATCTAAGTTTGTCTGGCATCTGCTGTATATCATATTGTATGTGAGCTTCATTCAATAGAAGAACGTCTCTCACTGAGGTGTGATGCTGTGGTTTGCTGTTTATTAATCTACACAGCCTATTTCTGTCCCAAGGGAACGAGTGACACAGCATTACTAATGACCAGCCTACTATGGCCAAAGTTTTGTTTGCTCGTCAACTAACATTTTTGCAGGAATCTACAAAATAATCTGTTTCGAATTATCCTGTAAACTGTATCGGTAAGTCAAAAGCAAATTTGTTTTCTGTCTGTTGGTTAAATATTGAGTTTTCTGGAACAGTCTGGCAGAATATCAGAAAGTTGTCCCTGCGCTGTTATCTCATCTGTTCAGTATGCAGCCTGACTTCACAAAATGTAACAATGTCGTCTGCTATGACCTTCAAAAACTGATTTAAGTTCCTACTGTGCAGGCCCTTAATGGAGTGAAAAAAACAGCTAGAACACAGAAATGGTGAGGTACGTTCAACCCAGCCTGATCATGTTGTTACCACCAGTTTATTGATCTGAGGCCACTATCGAAATGTTTTGAGAAGGGTGTCCTGAAGTCGTTTCCACCTCCTGGCTATGTCATTTGGTGCGAAGCCCAGCCGTTTGTGTAGGGAAGCACCTTCTCGTTCTCGTGTCGACTCCCGCCGGCTGGCTGGGTGCGATGGTGCTCTGACTGGAGGGCGCTGCTGTGTTTCAGGGATCTGAAGCTGGACAACGTGCTCCTGGATAAGGATGGCCACTGCAAGCTGGCTGACTTCGGCATGTGCAAGGAGGGCATCTTCGAGGGAGTGGCCACAGGGACGTTCTGTGGGACGCCTGACTACATCGCCCCCGAGGTACAGGGCCCGGGTCTTTACATTTCCACCCTGCCAGCGTAGGATGTCTCGGATGTCTCCCCGAAACATGCTGAGAGAGAGCATGTTTCTTTGCTCCGAAACGAAACTGTTGGCAGGGATCGTTGTGTGTATAAACCATTCCTGCGAAGCAGGGGTTTACTGGGGATAACAAGTCAACATGTTGTTTATGTCCTAAGTAAGTATCTTACTGCTGCTTAACCAATAACATTTTCTTCAACCCCCAAGGACTGACTTCCCATAACTGCCATTAAAAAAACTGATTTCCAAATTTTCAAGATAGCAGTCATACTCTGTAACTCCAGACCCTTCCCTTCGGATACTCTTTCCACATTTTGCACACAAAGGCGTTACTCAGCTCCCCTGTGTGCTTCCTGCTTCCTGCCTGAAATTGTTCCATTCTTTTAGAAGATCAATTACTGACAGCCTCAATGCACTGCCAGATTTCCTTTTGCACAGCTCAGAAGTTCAACATCACAGCTTGTGTATGGGTTCCCCTGTTTGCTGTCATGTCCTTTGTCACTTGTATAGTTCTCCACGGTCAGAATCTGGGATATGAATAGCCTGTAATGCCTGTGTCAGGAGGTGCATTGGTAAAGGCAGGAGTGGCATGATTCTGACTCACGACTGGTGCTTCACTTCTGCCCCTCAGGAATGATTCCCCCTCTGTTGTCCTGCAGGGTGGGAATGGAACAGAAATGTTGGAACACCACAGCTTGACTTCGCATGTTAATAATGCCCATTCTGAGAGAGGCACCCTGTATGTGTTTCTTCTAAATCATTTACACCCGAGATTCGAGTGAAAGATGTGAAAATAATTAAGGCAGCAGAGATAATGCTTATCCTAGCATGGCATTCAGCATAGTGCGGCATACTTAAAATACTTAAAAGAATTAATAACTTACAGGATTCCCATCACCAGGAATCGGATCTACCCGAGAAAGAGTGGACCATCTACAGCAGCTGCATTCATACCCTTTCAACCCTACTGCCCTGTGCTGTGTGGATTGAAGCTGTAGCTGCATGTATACTTTAATCTGGGGCTACAGACATCAAAGTGCAGGAAAATCGGCCCTCTTGGAATGATTTTGCGATTCAGGGCAGATTCCCCGCAAGGCTGTTTGACTTGTCGGCCAGGGCTTGTTTGCGCTGACGTCTGTGCTGTGGTGCTGTGTGCTCAGATCCTCCAGGAGATGCTGTACGGGCCCTCGGTGGACTGGTGGGCTCTGGGTGTGCTGCTGTACGAGATGCTGTCAGGGCACGCGCCATTCGAGGCGGAGAACGAGGACGACCTCTTCGAGTCCATCCTGAACGAGGAGATCGTCTACGCGGCCTGGCTCGGCGCCGATTCCGTGCACATCCTCAAGGCTGTGAGTCCTGCGCCCCTCCGGAGCGAGCCTTCGCTTCCTCTTCTGTCGTGGTGCCAAAGCACCAACACCCCTGGCAGAAATACTGTACACACCAGCCTTCTCTTAACAAGAGAGCACCTCTGCATTTCAAACAGGCAGACATATGCATTTAGAAAAACTTAAGAGCCCAACATTGCCGGATAGTCTTAAGGACAGAGGTGACACCAGGTCTTTATTATCACCTGCAGGGAAGTTTTAAGCTCTTTCAGTACAATTTTAATAAAGGGGGGTTATTCAGATCTTATGGTATTGTTGTTGTCTGTGAATAAATGCTGGATATTCTGTAATCTAAAATCTCCAAGAACCTACTGTGGAAAAGCTTTCGTGAATAGGAGGCAATTAAGGTTGTAAGTGTTGTTGAGTTTGGCACTGCACTAGGACAAAAGTGATGAGAACAGGCCCCATTAGTTGTCAGTCTTAATTAAAAGCATGTGGGGAAACTCTTCCATCTATCATGCTGGTGTTGCTGGTAGATCACTGTTCTAAGCACACCACCCAGCTTTCTGAACGATTGCAGTGCACCAGTTAAATCTGCATGGCTTGTATGTGTAGACCCTTTCATTGTTACAAATGCGTTGAGGTGGAGTGTGTGATGTTATGAGGGAGCTTTCAGCTGGGGGCAATCACCTGTGGAAATGCTGGGTGTAGGCATCAGTCCCTGAAGGAGAGCAGGCCTGGTTTCTGGGCCGTAGGCTCCAGGGGACCCCGAGGGCTAGGGGGTGCTGGTGTTGTGGGAGAGCCTGTGCAGAGCTGGCACCCACAGTGCTGTAACTGTCCAGCTGTTCCACTCCGCTGGATCCCTGGCTGGGTGACATCATTACATAACTGTATTAAAGCAGCATTTATGCTGAGGCTTGGGCTAAAAATAAACCCAGCTCTCTGAGGGGAACTGGGAAGTGTACTGGCCTGAAAGAATTAGCAGATCAGTGCTCAAACGCCGCTCTGCCTACGGTAACAGTTTAGCAAGAAGCCTGGTAACTTGCAGTATAGTTAGAACGTAGCAGTAAAATTTCGGTTTTTACATTTTGGTGATTTTTATTTCATTTTGGATTTGGCGAGAGCTTCCATGAGTTTTGTTTTCTCACCAATATTTACTGCGGGAGCTCTGCTCTTTGGAAAGTGAATCAGATTATAGGCCAGTCAAGACAGACCCAGCATTGGTCAAGCACTTTTTAAAAATACATATACACAATTGTGAAAATATATATATTCACATATACTTTTTCACATCTGCTTCTGTAGCAAGAAAGCTGATAACTCCCCTGTGGTCACAGTTTTGGCAGCATCAGCATGAAGGCTGCAGGTTGCCTGAGTCCCCCAACACATTGTGGCTCAGTTTTGATGTTTGATGTTATCTCTGTGGCTGAAAAAAAGAGTAAACATGTCACAGCCATGCAAGATGCCATCCTTAGCTAGATGGCACATTGATTTCTCATGTTGTAACAGGTTTTTTTTTTTAAGCTGAGGTTTCAAGGGGGCCTTGAAGCACACTTTAAGTCCTTTCCCTTAGCAGAAAGGCACACAACCTTAGCTGAGTGGATGTGGCTGATCTGTACCTCCCTCCTGTGTTGTCTGAGCAGCCCTGATATGCTCTGACCCATGGCTCTGGCCCACCAGCTCTGTACTGGAGCTCTAATCCTCTGCTCCCATTTGCTAGCCGCGCTGAAGCAGCAGCTGGCTGGGGCTGCGTTGCTGGGCAGAAGGAGGTCGGGTGTTCTCTGTTTCTCTGGAGGCTAGGGAGCCAATCAAAATCGACAGCCGAGAATCAGTATTGAAAATCGCATTGATTGCAGCTGACACAAGCTAAGACAATTATTACATTATGTTACTGCGCAGCAGTACCTCTGTAGGTAATGGGATTTGATTTTCCAGAGACGGGGTGTTATAATAACCTTGACACAGTTCATAAAGCTGTCGAAGTGGTGCTTTTGTGATCTGATTTACAGCGTAATTCCCTCTTGAGTCTCCTGCTTTGGGTCAGATAACAGGAGAGTGGCTCTGTGCAGTGAACTAGCACTAGGGCAGCAATGTCCCGCCACAGGGACTTTACTCATTCGCTTTGAAGGTCCACAGGTAGGGCAGATCAGCAGTGACAAAGGTCTGATAATCACACACAAAATGCAGACACTTTTTCACTACTGCACAGGACTCCGAACTCCAGCCAGAAAACAAGCAAAAGTGTATCTTTTCTGGGTTTTCTTTAACTCCAGGGCCAACACTTGTGTTTCCAATCTGCCATTTGCGTGCTCTATCCCGGAAAGGGCAGGACCCCCGTCAGAGCACAGACCTGGTGTTTGTTCTGGCTGGTGCAGCAGGGCGTGAAGTGGCAGGCTATAGATAGCCAAGGTCATATCGCTTGTTCTGACTCCCAGGCTGAGCAGATGTCTCATTCCTCCTCTGTGCTCTCCTGAGTGCCGGCAGGGGTGGTGCGTGCCACTGGCGCCAGGACTGCTGTCACACTGGGGCAAAACACTTTTCAGACAACCTCTGGGGTGTCCCAGAGATGAGCCCCCCCGTCACTGATATTGTCGGCAATTGAAAAGCATTCTGCATTTGTACAGTCGCCTCTGTTGCAGAATGGTGTAATCTGCTGTGAAAGCATATAGATTCAGGCCCAGGATAGAGACCATAATCAAGGGCCAAACTACTGGACTGATTGCAGCCTGTGAAATCCACCGGCTGTGCCTTCAACTGAAGGAGGGATGATTCTGTTTAATTTCAGCAACATGCTTCCGGATTTATGCAGGTCTGATAAAGTCAGCATTGCTTGTTCTCTTCCCAGCTTCCCTTTGCTCTGTTGGAAAGTGACAAACTGTTTTGGTTTATTGCCCCCAGCTGCCAAGGTTCAAGAGCAGCGTTCCATTCGGCCTGCATCACAGTAACAGCTGGGGCTGCACACTACGATGCACAATCAGATGGTCCATGACATTTCCATCACAGTTTTCGTTGTGTGCAAGGCCCACGAGTGGTGGAGAGGTCAACTGAGTTTACGGCGTTTTTTTTTTCTAAGCACGGCTGATCGCTGTCATGTGATCCCATCTATTGAAAACAAATACTTTTCCGCCCATGCACGACTTAAAAAGATGTGGAGCTCTGTTCTGTCTGAACAGGGCTCAGCTGTAATGTCTCTGAGGAGTGAAAGAAAGCTGTACCCTTTATGTCAGTGTGGTGCTTTTGGTCTGACCTCTGTCTGCACAGGTGACATTGAGAAACGAGGAAGCCGAGATCACCTATCTAAATAAGGATTCTCATCATATTTTTCATTGGCTGTAATTATTCATTCCATTTGTAAAGATGGGTCTGTTCACTGATTGTTCCAGTGAGCTGTGCTCAGTAGTGTCTTCTCTCCACTGTGCTGATTGGCTGCCGTAGTGAGCTGTGCTCAGTAGTGTCTTCTCTCCAC